ACCTTGCGACCGTGTCGGAGTAATGGCATTGCACCGTGCCTTAGGTCACGGTGACCAAGATTAATTGATGAATCTACGATCTGTTTCGTTTAATTACATCTGTACATTTACGGGATTGCCTTTCGTCGAAACAGTTTAATGAAAAATCTTGAACGACTAAACATGAGATTAGCATTTCTGGAATAATTGATTTGTAATCAACCAATTCGTAAGACATTGATATATATATTGCATGAAAATCTATAGCTTCAATCTATTTCTCTCTATCAAGATTCATAACGAATCTCGTTCACAATTCTAATTGAAGATGAAATTTGATCGTTTGAGGAAATGGTCCACTCAAGAGTCGAAACTGATTATCAGCTTGAAACGGTTCGGACAAGTGAGAGAAAATCGACAGAATAAGTGGGATTCGAGATATTGAGTCGAAATGACAGTCGACACGCAAGAAACCGACTAAGAAAAAAAAAGAAAGGGAAAGAAGAAATAGTTGCCACACTGTAAAATCTGCGTGCAAAGTGCAAGCTCTGCGAATGTCTGGGAAACGACAAAGGGCAATGTCGGTTCGGTTCGTTTGGCAGTTCTCGTTCGTTTTTATTGCCCTTTTTCGCTCGTTAGATAGCACTCTTTTTCCCTTGTGGTCTTTCTTTTCCTTTGCCTTCTCTATCTTATTATTTCACGTCGTTGCACTATCGTGCCGCAGTTTGTCTATTTAGCGGCTTATTTAGCCGCTTGTTTATTTGCGTTCCCGCGGCCTGTGGAACCAATTTATACGAATGCAAGAGAGGGAATCTTTCTACGGAAAATTAAACGCTCTACAAAACTACAATTACGTTGTATTACGGAGAGCATGGTGTAAAATTACACAATAGGACTAATTTGAGAAATATAACTAAAGGAAATGCGAAAATGCCGTGTCACGATGTACACGCGGATGTTTAAGAGAGTGGTTGGCAATAGATAGCTACATTGACTGATAGTTTTATTGACAATAAGTGTAGAAATGTTCCTTGAAAATTCATCACGTCGAAAAAAATAATTATTTTTTTACGTTAATATTAAGATATACAATAATTGTAATTATATATTAAATATTAAATTTTAATGTACATTAAAATGTTAATTAAATTTTATGTACATAATATATATTAAAAATTAAATATTAAATTATATTAAATATAATTACATATTAAATATTACAAAAATAATATTATATCAATTATATGAATATATAGTTATCTTTGAAAATATCTTTCAAACATTTCAGATATTACTTTCGATATTTCTCTCATCATTCAAGATTTTCTGAACTAAATTTTAAGTAGCTCAATGATTTAATGGACAAATAAGATAAACGAGCATACACATTTTTGTTTTCTCTAATAGGGCAGAGCAGATTAGATCACTCTGTCTGATGCAAGATTAACAAGAAGCTGCATCTTGCCTGCAGTAATTCTCGATCGAAAAAACCGACAAGGACGACGAGTTTTTATTACAGTATTTTTGTGGAATTGCACGTGTCGGGTCTATAATCACATATTCATAAAATTATGGCGATTACTGTTCCTTGCCCTTGTCTGCTTTTCTTTTTATCACGAGGCGCCAGACTAGCTAGTACAAGGAAAGGCAAGAAATTGCTGCGTTCAGATTTTCTTGTTATATGCACGTACCATGTATGTTATCAAGCAAATATTCATGTTCCGCTGTATACATATACTATCGAGCAAATATTCATGATGCAAACTCAAAGTCGAGTTATAATCATATCGCGGTGAAACGCATTCCTCAATCACTCCTATTAGAATACAGAGATAAACTATGTAGGAAAATAATTACATATACTGCACACAACGATATTACTCATTTTAATATTTGCCTCACAAAAACAGTCACTCAAATGATTGGGAAAGCGCCAAAGCACGAAGAGATCACCATTATTAATCGAGAAATAAATATACTGCACTTATGAAATTCTATACAATTTCTGAAAATTAAAGACTATTCGTAAATTTTGCTCAACGAATCAATGAATATTTGGATATACCGTATCTAGAAATAATAGGTCAACGAAGATACTAGTCTCTTCCACGATTGCGAATCGCAAAAAAACAATTACATGAAAATGACACGCAATTATTCATGATTACGTTTATCCACAAAAAAAGATCGTCAGAGTAAGGCTAATATTTCATTTGCTATAGGACAAATTTTTCAAGTGTGTTAATTAGCTGTAAGATAGAAAATTTCTGGAAACTCAAGAACTTCTCTATTCTGTAGCCAATTAATACATTTGAAAATTTTATCGTATTATAAATGAAATATTAGTCTAAAGACGGCTTCAGTGGCCAATGTGAGCCAACTGTATATACATTTGCTAAATATTGGCCCATATTCATATGTATAATTATATTTGTGACTATACGTCTTTTATTGTAAAAGACAATCTTTTATTTCAAGTAGTTGGTTTTTAAACGTATTAATTTTTAAAACTTAATTTTGTTTTTTATTTCAATAATATTATAGAAAATTTCTTTCTAATTCTTTTAATGTCTAATGTATTAATAAGCGAGTTTTTATTAAAATTTAATTTTAAGCAAGGATAATATTGATCCAAAACAGCAAAATCATAACATCAAAATGACGTTAAAATAAGTTAGGATTGATTGAAAAGTGACTTTAATAATGAAATTTGCAGCTATTTTGATGTCATTTATTTAGTAAAGTACTTTACCTAGGAGTTATCTTAGGCGTACCGCGCAAGAAAATTTCAAAAACTTAATACGCAGATTTCTGACAGTCCAAATTAGTTTAGACATATTTAGGAATAAAGTCCTAAAATTTTTAGGTTCATTTTTTCTAAGAAAATATCACCGTAATAATTTGCATGTTCGTGTGTACAATATTTGTTAATGACTGCGTTCAGCAGAAATAGTAGCGTTGCACTAAGATTCTTTAATATAATTGGTTCTTGCCTTTATTTCTTCACAGATCTAGAGTACAAACCAATCCTAATAAAGAATCTTGTAACTATTGCAAAACTGCTTTTGCTACTGAACGCAGCCAATGTTGGCGTACATTGGCCATGTCATCTGGAGCCGCTTTAAAATCGCAAGAATAGAGTATCATGTAGATCAATGCAAGGCGTCTACAGTAAGATAAATTAGGCGCAATAAATGCGTCAATGAGATTATTTCCTCGTATAATTTTGGACGAATCTTTGGACGACGTCATTTGCGCAACTTCCTCCTTGTGGCAGATAAACAATCGATATAGTATCAAGCGAAAAGAAATATAAAAATAAGAATAATAAAAAATAAATCAATCGAAAGATATAATTCAAATTTTAATTAAAATTTTATAAATTCAACATTAATCACGCAAAACGAAATTTTTGCGAAATTATTTTAGATACATTGAAAAAAATACTAAATTTTAATAAAAATAAATTTTGTTTGAATAGTTCTAAAAATATAAATATTTACTAAATATAAATCTATATTTATTTGATATAAAAACTATTAATTTCATTTAATTATCATTCTTTTATTGAATAAATATTTATTTATTGTAAATAAATGTTTATTTAATATTATTCAAAGAAATATGCATTAAGATTCAGTAAATTATTTGCAGTGTATCGAATCCACGTAAATAATATAGTGTCACCACGTATTATTATAGTTATTAAGCATTATTATGTAAGTTGATTGGGACGCGATCTGTTTGGTGTACAGTACCTCGTAAACAAATCCCCCAAGTACGATCGATCGAACGTTGCAGAGCCAAAGTTCGCTATGGCTTTAAATCGCAGTCGTGAAAATTAGATCGACATTTCATTGAGACATCCATTCGAGATCAATAAAACAAGAGCAAGAACGCAAATACGCGGACAGCTTATTTGTCAGCAGATCTTCATTTAATTAACGAATACATTTGCACGCGCGCGTATGCAGTCGTATGCGTTGCGTATACGCAGTAGTACAGCGCGAAACTTCTGAAACATCTTATCATATTTCCTCTTTGCATCACTCTTACGCACGCAATTACGCTTGGGATGTTACTTCTATACTGACGTCGTAAAACCAAGTTGTAAATAACGCGAAGTGAATTATGGAAATCATAAATATTTAAGTACTCGTGAAAATTACATATATATTAAAAAACTTTTCGAATAAAAATAAAATTGTTTATTATTTAATTCCATTCTTCGATCTCAAAATAAAATTATTATGAAGTTCTCTCTCTCTCTCTCTCTCTCTCTCTCTCTCTCTCTCTCTCTCTCTCCCCCCAATCCCTACAACTTTATATAAATAATTTCGTAAAACTTCGATTTGGCATTCGCTTAAAAACAAACGTGGAATAAAAAAAAATTTTGAAACATGCATAATTATGGGAATTGAAAACGAAATGTGTACAAAATTCTACGATATAAACTGCTAATATATTAATGATATAATCATAAATATTTAAATATTCGACATGTAAATCTGTGGTTGGATTTTATCGCAAAAAATGTCTCCAACAAAAATAAAATGAATTATTTATTAAGACCATATATGTGACTACACACAAGTAAGAATTTAAAGTCTATAATGGCTATAAAAATAAAATGATTATTTTATTCTATTCTCCGATTTCAAAGTAATTATTAAAAATTTTCTCTACAACTTTATTAAAATATCCGTAAAACTCCGATTTGGCATTCGTTCAAGAGCGAATGTAGAGTTGAAAAAGTAATTTTGAAACATGTACAATTATGAGGATTGAAAAATTTAAAAAATTCCACGCATAAATGACTAATGGTAATTCAATCACGCAACACTAATACCTATTTATTATGTAAAATTGATGTGTCCGTTTTGGACACATGCGTTTTACACATGCGAATTTGACGCGTCAAAGAGTTGCGCAAATTTACGCTCGACGGTACAGATCGCGCGCGTCATCGCTGTTATGTATATTAATTTGACGTATTTCGTATAATTCTGCGCGTGACTTACTTTTGCATTCCTCTGGGCTTTCGTCGGAATTGTCAGTACAATCGTCCGATTTGTCACAGACCCACGAGATTGGTATGCATCTGCCATTGGCACATCGGAACTGCCTCAAAGGACAAGCTACTTTACCTGAGAAACAAAGGGAAAAAAATTCACTGAGAAAAACTCAACGGCTAGTTAAAACAACTTAACAAGCAGCATAAAGAAACGTAAGGAATTAAAATGTAAGGAACTTAAGCATTCATGAAATCGATCAATCATTATTTAATTAAAAAATTAACTTAATTCACTTAATTTTGTTCAAAAATTAATATTTCATCGTATATATATATATATATATATATTCGATCGCTCGATTCATTTGCTTAAATCGCTTGTCGCTTACATTTTTTTGCCTTGCGAAGCTTTATAATCTCATAAATAAATGAACTGAGATAACTCCAAGATTTGTAACGGGTTATAATTAGAGTGACTCGCTGTTAGAAGACTATTACGGATGCAAGCGTGACACGTGCCTCGTTCTAACATAAACGCAGCAGTAATAAAATCAAACGTAATCTGTCGTAGCTCATTTGCGTATCAACTGTCGTCACTGTCGACAAGATTATCTCATAATTCTCACTGACGGTAGATACTTATTTCTATCTAATATGCTCATTGAGTAAACGAGTGAAGAAACCGTGCAATTTTACTCTTACATATCACTTATTTGTCGTAACAATTACGCAACTAAAAAAACCAATGTTTTTAGAAAATAGAATTTAAATGTTTTAAATCGTAATTAAAATTTTGTAATATTATTAATTTTTACTATTGGTACTACTCATAATTAAATCGTACTTCTTTGTATTTCTTTTTTTTTTAATATTTGGTTAAATAAGGATGACTATTTTTGTTTATTTTTTTTTTTTAAATAAACAACTTTATAAACACTTTGTGAGAATGTTTGAATATATATGTAAGAATCATTTAATAATATTTTTATTATAAAATTAATGAAAATTAATTCGGGACATGAATGACCCATCCCATCGAGTGTGGTAGATAAGGAATCGAAAAATCATCGTACATAGGATTAAAATACAGTTTTAATGTAATTAATTGATTGTAGAAGAATACAATTATGTTTTTTTAGTATTTTTTCTTTTTTTCTTGTTTCTTTCTTTACAAACAACTAAAAAACATTGAAAATTTTTAAGTTATTGACTGCATTCAGCAGACAAAGTAGCTTTGCAATTGTCGTAATATTCTTTAATACGATTGGTTTTGGCCTTAGTTCCTCATTAGCTTTAAATGTATAAACCAATCATATTAAAGAATCTACAACAGTTGCAAAGCTGCTTTATATGCTAAATGCTGCCATTGCAGCAAATGAGCAAAAAATGCAGTATCATTATTCATATGAATCTATTATTATATATTTTTTTATACCAACGTTATGATTTATGTGAAATATTATCTATTATTATATATGTTATGATTTATGTGAAAGATTACCTATTATTATATTTTTTTATACGAACATTTTAGCGTTATTTAATAGTTTCACTTTCGTTACTATTAACATGTGATTTGTCCTTACAACAGACGCGCTGGAAAATATTAACAATCGTAGAACGCGAGTTTCCTATAAGGTATCAGGTATCTTGCGGTGATACCCCGACCAACGGATCTGAAATAGCACGAATGATACACGGCAGTAATCCAAGCCGAGTCCAGACAATCTGAGATCAAAGTTTTTGCGAATTCACATACGATCTGCGCATTGATCCGCAGAACACCTTAACAACTCCCGGTGGGAATCGCCGACACAGATTTATCACGGTGGAACGTGCGCTCCGGCTATTTCCACTACGTTTTGTGCTGCCTCAAGAATTCCTCGGTGAAATTATCGGACGATGCTAATAGGCCGCTGGAAATCAGGACGTACATTATAGGATCGCTAGCAGTTTCAACAAAATCAATGCTACGACTGTTAATTGACGGCCAAGATTCAAGTTATAGTACTGGACCATCACTGACAAATGATTGGAAAAAATGACTAGGTCAGTACCGAATCCAAGTTATCATCCAGTACTTAGTCAGTACTGCGCCAGTAATTGAACTTGTGGCAACCAATAATAGCCCAGCATTAAGTCGATTGTAAAACCCTATATAGGATGCGAACATCAAAGCGAATGTGTAAGGGTGGTCAAAACCGATCAAATAAACGTTCACGATCAACAGAGTTCTATCTTGCTGACTTGTGTGGCGCTTGGATTTGCTGGAAGAATCATTACGCTAATTGCGCCCGTATATCTGTAATTATATAGTATGTGTGTGCTTTAATTCTCTCGGCTGTACATTATACTCAGACATATTTCGCGAACATGCTGGATTCAGTATTCCTTGTATTCGTGGAATAATTCTATGGGTTCTAGCGAAAGCTAGGAACATAGACAGGAAAGTAGTGCAATTTTGTTGACAAATTTTCTTGTTCGAAACAGTTTTCTTCGTTCGAAACTCCAACGACTTCGGAGAATTAAACGGCGAATTGAAAGTCTTAATCAGGAAAAATCGAGAGAAAATTTTACTTCGTTAGATTCAACAGCAATTTTCGCTTTTTGCGAAATACGCAATTTAATTTTTATTTCTATTCATGTGCGGTTTATGTGAATGAAAGATTGGCTTGTAAACTCGTTTCAATATCCAAAGATATTACTCATAAATCATCACTTAATCAGACAAATTTAAATTCATTAAAAGACAGGATAGATTAATCTCTTTGAATTGTCAGAATAATCGCAAATGTATGAGATAGAAAAGCATGTGTGCACGGAGTCTTTTTCTTTCCTTTATTTTTCTTCTTTTTTTTTAAAGCTCACGATATTCTAAATCTTAATCTTTAACCTGCCTTTATATAAATACGTGCGTATTTAATAAGAATATAAATGCTCAAATATAAATAAATTAAATATTATTATATCAAAAAAAAGTTTCAAAAAAACTACGAGTCTAATAATTAATGCCATTAATATGTATTAACTTTAATTTCGATTCGAATTTACTTTTAATTTATTTCTAATTTTTGAATAGACAAATATAATATAAGGAGTATGTAAATTGAAAAGATTAAATTAAGTTAATTCATATTATTGAAAACGGAAATAATAAGAATAAGAAAATTTTGAATCCCTCATGAAAAGATCGGTTTTGCTGAAATATTTAAAATTTTAGTCAATTACAAATCTGATAATAATTTTATTAAATCATAAAAATAATTATGTAACACAAACTAGTTGCTACAATGTCAAAATTTTTTACAGTATTATTTATAATGCTTAAAATTTCTACAAAATTATTTTAATAATTCATCAAAATTATTTTCAAATTTATTTTATATTAAATTTTTTAGACTTTTATCTCTGACAAGTCAACTTCAGAGAACGCAAATTTTTTTCAATTTTTTTATAGTTACGTCTTAATATTAAAATATGGACAAATCTATTATTAATTTTAGTTGAAATTAAGTTCTCTTTCATCTTTCAAATCTTAAACATTTTTTTTTTACAAATATCCGATTTTACAAACATTTATATTTCTTAGAAAGAATTAATCTACATCTGATTTTGTGAAACTCGACACACGTAGAATACTAAAATAATAATAATTTAAAAAACAGTTCCACATGCAAAAAACTTTACATTACTTTAAAGATACATAAAATCGAGTATGTGTGTAAAATAATTTTTTTTTAATTGAAAAACTTAAAAGTTAAAATTAATGACAAATTTCTTCATATTTTGACGTAAGAAACTAAAAAAAATTTAAGAAAAATCGACGTTTGATGTTCCCTGAGATTTATCTTAAGGAAATTAATTTTTTAACACGTCCAAACTAAACATTATTTATTCGGTTTGGATATCGCGTGCAGAAATCATTATTAAAGAAATCAAAACAAATCAACGTTAAATGAGTACCGCTTTACTCCGTTTTCTCTCTTAATGATGATTAATATTCCATTTGTGTACATTATATATATATATATATATATTAGGTGTTGGAATTAATTCGTAGCGTTTT